ATGTATGTTGTTTACTGGAGTTGTATGACCGTTCCTTACCTGTTTGAGTTATATACAGAAAAATAAAACAGATGCTCTTGCTATGAAACTTTCTTGGCTAATTCTTATAACAACATAGGATAAGAATTTTATCTAACATTTCTCAATACCATGTTGTATTTTCAGCCTGTTTATTCTGGCTTCTTCCTTAGAATCACTGTTAGTGTTGAATAAAAGTTAAGCAATTAAAAAGAAAAATAAACATCAGGAACTTTGTAGATCGAACTAGTGAAGACATCCTTGAGGCACTTTAAGAGAAGTTAAGTGACACCATCATTATGATACTGTGTTACTTCTTTGATCTGCTAAAAAGTTAAGTGAAATAATCAGTTTATATTTCTGAGTTTTCTTTCTAGTTGTTGCATGTAGAAATAAAACTAAGAAATAGGTCAATTGTAAAAGCTTTTGTCCTCTTCCTCACCTCATTACAGACTACTCCCTCTTTAGGATGGGTGAGAAAAGAGGGAACTAAGTTTATTTTTACACATATTACTGTATGAATTAAGAAAGGTATTCAAGAAGTGGTGTGCTATAGTGGAGAGAACATGAAATTTGGACTCTGAGGTCATAGGTTTCAGTTTTCCATCTGGTTCTTGAGACTTGAATCAAGTAACTTTTCTAACCTCAGTTTCCTTATTTGTAAAAGATGAAAACTAATAAAACCTACCCTTTGGATTGTCAAAGGAATTATATGGTATTCCCCAAATAATTAAAAGACAGCTAAAAAGATGCATATCATCTTTGGAAGAGAAAATAAAATTGAAATCACTTTTTAAAATGAGGCACATGAATATAAAGTCAGAAAATTTAGATGGCATTAGAAATGGGATTAATGTTTTAAATATATGCTATGGAGCCCTAAACACTTGCTATAGTTGGGACACAAAATTGAGTATGAACTTCCTAGCTGTCATCTCAAACAGGGAAACATGGCAAGTCAGTAAACCAACAGCATCCATCCATAAGGTTAAAAACAAATTAGTAGTTTTGTGATTCCTCAAAAAGTGAAATATACAATTACCATATGAACTGAAATTCCTAGGTACACACCCAAAATGATTGAAAACAGGTATTCAAACAGATACTTGTATATCAGTGTACATCTTGTACATCATAGCAGCATGATTCACAATAGCAAAAGGTAGAAACCACCAAAATTCCCATCAATGGATGAATTATCTACAAAATGTAGTATATCATTACTAGGAAATACTATGCAGCCATAAAAAAGAAATGAAGTACTGACACATGCTACATCCTGATGAATTTCAAAATGCTAAGTGAAAGGAGTCAGACACAAAAGGTCACATTATTGTATGAGTCCATTTATATGAAATATCCAGAATAGTTAAATCCATAGAGACAGGAAGCAGATTAGGTTGCCAGGGGCTGAAGAGGGGGAGAAATAGGGAACGCCTGCATAATAGGTATGGGGTCTCTTTTGGGAATGTTGAAAATGTTTTGGAACTAGATAGAGGTGATGGTTGCACAACTTTGTAAATGTACAAAATGCCACCAATCGTGCACTTTTAAATGGTTAATTTTATGCTATGTGAATTTTACCTCAATAAAAAATAATGATAAATAGATTAAACAAAGCAAAACCAATCCAAGACCCAAACAAATGAGTTGTCTGGAAAAGTACAACTATTTCTAATACTGAGGCCTGAAAGGACATTCTCTAAGGAAATAAACACTTAACAATATCTCTGAACATAATGCTGAGTGTCATATCATTCTTTAGAAGGTCCTTCAATAAAGGCTGATGTCCTAACTATGAAGGGAAATATGGCAATAGGTATTTTAACTGGGAACCAGGGGGAGTATGGTGTTAGCAATGTGGCCCAAGCTTCACTGGTCTCTGACCAGCAGGCTTAAGGCAGAGATAATATTAAAAACATATAGAGGAAGAGATAGACTGCCTATCCTTCTATAATCCTTCAGAAATGTTTCCCTTAGTCAAAATTTTGAAAGCTGTAGAGCAGGAGTGAGTTTGAGATTGCATTCCCTGTAGACCATGGGTGCAGGTTGCTAATTTAGAGGCTTGTGCTTTAAAAGTTAGCCAATCTGGAAGCAGGAGTAAGATCCATTGGTAAATGAGGAGAACTTTGGAAGCAGGTAGTGACAGTGCTGGGTCAGTGAAAGTTCTCCTGAGAAAGTATAAGATCTGCTCGAACACTCAAAGGGTAATTATAACCCCACATAGTTCCATGCAATAAATCATGCCCTCAGTATCTTTAAGGAGAAAGGTTTCTTGTAGACTCCATGAGACCATGTATATAAAATCTCTTTGTAAAGTATAAAGTTTATACCAATTGTAGTTTTCATTGTTGTGACTATCTGGCTATAATACCTAGCATGTAAACAACGTATTTGAACAGAATTTTCACATACATTCATTCATTATTCTTAACAGATACTTATTGAATATTAATTGTGTGCCCAAGAAGGATAGACAATATTATCATCATTTTAGAAAAGAATAAACTGAGGTTCTGAGAACCTAAGATTTTCCCTAAGTCCCATAACTTGGAGACTCCAGACCTTTGGTTCCTAGTTCATTCCAAATCTTTCTGCCCCCAAGGGCTAAAACGACTATGGTTGCCAAACCCCTTTGTCTTCATTAATTACTAAATGGGATTATTTGATGCCTTGGGCAAAGGTTTACCATTTCTACTTCTGTCTGTGCAGTGGTATTTTCCTTAACTGCTGTTACATGGAGTTCTCTCTCAGAAGCCATGCTACCAAACACACACACAATGCTTGGCTGTACATTACTGGCTAACATTTGAATGTACATTGTGTGTTAGGTGTGGTGCTAAGAATTATGCGGACATATTCTCATTTAATCCTTAAAATAGCTTTCTGGGGCTTCCCTGGTGGTGCAGTGGTTGAGAGTCCGCCTGCCAATGCAGGGGACATAGGTTCGTGCCCCGGTCTGGGAAGACCCCACATGCCGCAGAGCAGCTAGGTCTGTGAGCCATGGCCGCTGAGTCTGCGCGTCCGGAGGCTGTCTCTGCAACAGGAGAGGCCACAGCAGTGAGAGGCCCGCGTACCGCAAAAAAAAAAGAAAAAAGAAAAAAAAAAACCTTCTGAGGAAGGTTCATCATCTCTCTTTTGTTTATACAGAAACTAAGGCTCAGAAAGATTAAATAACTTGCCCTAAGTCAGAGGCAGAAATATAAATGGTCTTCAAATCCTTATAGGATATCAAAAGATTCCTGAAAATCAGAGGCTGACTTCTATGATTCCTACCTGGAGAGCCAGTAGGGTGTGGAACAAATGTTGGAAGTAAGCGACAGGGCTGGGTCCCCATGCAGTTTTGCTTAACTTCAGACTCACAGCTTAACTCCTCTGCTATCCTGAGACACAGGTCTAATACGTTTATAATCATTTGATTCCCGACCCAGACAATTATGGTAATAAATTTGGGGTCATTATCATCGTAGTGGCTAAAATTTTCTATGTCAAGCACTTTTTAAAGTACTTAACAGTCCTAGAATTCAGGAATATTTGTAGATTTTAAAGTCCTCTGATAAAGGACAAGGAAGTGCCCGTCCACGTAAGAGTATTTTTGAGGAGACAGCAAGCTTTTGCTAAGAAAAGTCAAAAGTTCAGGTTACTGAGTATTATTCTGCTGTTGGATTCAGGATGTTGAAAAGCTAGTATCTATGCTTTTGACTAACATATTTTTCCGTTCAGATGTGTATAATGTAATAGGGAAAAATAATTTATTTGACAAAAATTATCATAGCGTGCCAGATATTGTGCTAGGTGCTGCCACGTAGCTGCTAGGGTTTAAGTATTCAAGAAGTGTCAGCTCTGCCAGTGTTGGAGGAAAAGGGAAGCGATCTTTACCAAACTGGGAAAATTCCATCTGAGATTCATTTCCTAGTCTATAAATGAGGGGGCTGGATATACAGGTCTTAATCGTTTCTGTTTTTTTGACTGTGTGTGAAGGTTTCTCCTCTTCATCTGTCACTACTCCCATGTCAAAGTATTCATCTCACACTATCCTAGCTTTGCAATTAATTAATTAGTTCAACAAATGTTTACTGAACGTGCCTGAAGTGTCAGGCACTAAAGGGGTGAAGCAAGGTCCCTCTGCTCATAAAGCTTACAGTTCAAAGGGATAAGAAAATAAATAAATTAAAAATTAGGAAAACAAATGCATAAAAATATTAACAATAAATAAATAACTATAGGTTGAAAAGGTCTTAAGAAGGAAATAAGCAGGATGGCACGTTCTCTTTTTTTTTCAGTCATATAATGTGATTGGCTCTTTCAATTCCCAAAACGACGACCTATCAAGGTTATCAGATTTTAAAAGGGGAAAAACGATAATACCTTACAACTAACTAGGGAACGAATAGCCATTACTCTTGAAGTAAACTGTATCGGGGCTGGTTTACTCTATCTTTTCCTTGGAATGTTAGAGGAGAGGCTTCTCAAATGAGCAGCGAGAGTAACTCACTTTATTTTTTTTTTGGTAAGTCAGTCGGAAAGACAAAGCGAAAAGAGGGAACCAGGAGTCAGGGAAATTACCAATCGTCTGGCCATCAAGATTTCTTTAAGTCTCTAAGCTCCCCTTGGCAGCGGTAATCAAGATGAAAGAAAACCATGCCATAAACTTCAGTTTTCCCTTCAATATTACTGCCCGGTGGCAGGAACCTGGGAAGAAGAGGTCAAGGTGTGGTTTGGCAAGAGGCAGTTCCCGGGAGAGGCGCTGGGAAGGGCAGGGCGGAGAACAGCCGGAGAAGGTGACAGAAAGGAAGGGGAAGAAGGCGTTAGCACCCCGAGGTGAAAGCGCAGAAGTCTCTGCCGCGCGCGACTCAGGTGGCCCTTTCCCGCTCAGGTGAGCTCCTCCCGCGCCTCCCATTGGCCAAGGCGCCAGTGGCGCTGGGAGGGCGACGCAGTCCGGTCTAGTTCAGGGTCTAGGGCGGCGCGTCACTTCCGGTAGCGCGGAGCTTGTAAAACACCCTGGAGAGAAAATGGCGGCAGCAACGGCTTCGGCGCCTCAACAGCTCTCGGATGAGGAGCTTTTCTCTCAGCTCCGCCGTTACGGCCTGTCTCCTGGCCCAGTGACGGAGAGCACCCGCCCGGTCTACCTCAAGAAGCTGAAGAAGCTTCGAGAGGAAGAGCAGCAGCAGCACCGGTCCGGGGGCCGCAGCACCAAGACGCGGAACAGTAATAACAATAACACGGCAACCGCCACGGTCGCCGCCGCGGCAGCAGCGGCGGCGGCCGTGGGGATGGGGGTCCGGCAGGTCTCAGGCGACCTCTCCTACTTACGGACTCCTGGAGGCTTGGGCCGGATCTCGGCTTCTGGCCCGGAGAGCCCCTTGGGAGGGCCCGGGGGCGCCTCGGCCGCCCCCACGGCTGGCAGCAAAGTACTGCTGGGCTTCAGCTCGGACGAGTCGGACGTGGAGGCCAGTCCCCGGGACCAGGCCGGCGGCGGCGGCGGGGGCGGCGGCGGCGGCGGCTGCGGCGGCGGGAGGAAAGACCGGGCTCCGCTCCAGTATCGCGGGCTCAAACCGACGTCGGCGCCCCTGGCCTCCAGCGAGGTGACTAACAGCAACTCGGCCGAGCGGAGGAAGCCCCACTCGTGGTGGGGGGCCAGGAGGCCGGCGGCTGCCGAGCTGCAGAGCCCGTCGGGGAGAGATGGGGCGGCGGATGACGGGGAGCAGGAGGGAGAGGACGGCGAGGATAGGGACCCGGAGGCAGAGGAGCCGCTGTGGTCCGGCCGGACCGTGAATGGCAGCCGGCTTCTCCCCTACAGCTGCCGGGAGAACTATTCGGACTCGGAAGAAGAGGAGGACGACGACGTGGCCTCCAGCAGACAGGTATTGAAGGACGACTCCCTTTCCCGGCATCGGCCCAGGCGGGGCCATAGTAAGCCTCTCTCTCCCCTGCCTGCGAAATCGGCCGGCGGCCGACTGGAGACCTCAGTTCAGGGAGCGGGAGGAATCGCGATGAATGACAGGGCGGCGGCCGCTGGGAGTCTAGACAGGAGCCGAAACGTCGAAGAGTCGTCGTCGTCGTCGGCGGCGGCGGAGCAGGGAGGAGGGTTTGATCCCCCGGACTCCAGCCCCATTCCTAGATACCGCGTTAACGCTAAGAAACTGGCCCCTCTCCTGCAGCCACCGCTCGCGGACGTGGACTCAACCTTGGATTCGTCCACAGGCTCCCTTCTTAAAACCAATAATCATATCGGCGGTGTGGCCTTCGGCGTGGACTCCCCCAGGATTTTTTCCAACAGCCTCCCTCCCAGTGCGGCGGTGGCCGCCTCTGGTTCACTCAGGATCAATCACTCCAATCATACGGGCTCCAATCATACCTACCTGAAGAACACATATAACAAACCGAAGCTTTCCGAACCTGAGGAGGAACTTCTCCAGCAATTTAAACGGGAGGAGGTGTCCCCAACTGGGGGTTTCAGTGCCCACTACTTGTCGATGTTTCTCTTAACTGCTGCCTGCCTATTTTTCCTCGTATTGGGACTGACTTACCTAGGAATGAGAGGGACAGGAGTCTCCGAGGATGGAGGACTCAGCAGTAAGTATTAAACCCCGTGGGGAAGGCAACAAAGGGAATGTTGTTAGTGGTCGGCTCTCACCGCACTGGGCGTTTTACCCGAGGTGACTTCTGTCTGCAAGAACATGGTTTAATAGTGAAACACAACAGATGGAGTGCATTCGTATCATCTTTCTTTAAGAAAGAACATGATTACCACGATAAGAATGATAATCCCATGGCTGGTTTTAAGATTTTTCTGTATGAAGTATTGGGAAATTCAGAACATCTTATAAAAGAACAAAATATTACAAGCAAGTCTGTTAGTAAAATGCATTTATTTATACGTGTGACTTAAATTTTCTTTTGGCCTTAAATAACCATATGTGGAGTTGCCAATCCAATTACTCAACAGTTTGGAGGTATTTTGATTGTTCAGGGGCATCATAAATGCAGTTGGTTTTTTGTTTGTTTTTGTTTTCCCAAATTGAGTTGTGGTTCTAAAAGGCAATGTAAGATCTCTTGAAATTCTGGTTAAATGTTTTGTAGTATTAAGTATATGTGTAGGTAGTTCTGTAATTTCTTTAAAGTGAATGAATACAGATAGAAAGTAAGAAGGCATACCTCTACATTGATTTCCCAGCCCGAAGCACCTCCCCTTCCACCAGTGAAAAAAAATAGAGGTAGGGAACTGCAGGGGTTTGCAGTCAGGTTAATCTGGATTGGTCTCCAGGCCCTGCCTTTTACTTGCTAAATGTCTGTAGGCAGGTGTGTTCACTCATTCATTAAGCCAGCATCATCTGTGCTGTCCTTCAACACAGGAAGAAGGTGAATACTGATGGCTTTGTGTTCTATGAAGGAAATAAGGATGGAGTAATTGGTGTATTCTACTTTAGAGATAGAGAGAGTAGGAACTATTTGAAGTGAGCCCTGAAGCAGAAGAAGGCGACGGCCTTGTAGGAGACTGGAGAGCATTCTGGGCAGAGATTACAAGAGGAGGAGGAAAGGCCTTGAGTTGAGCAAGAGCCTTCCTGTAGGTTATAGTACCTTGAGCGAGGGGGAGTGAGCCAGGGTTTAAGCTTCCCTTGCAAAATCTGTAAAACGATGCTAATCTTGATTAGAATAATGCCTGGGAAGATTAAAAGAGAGAAAGTAAATTTAGTGCGTGATGGACTGCTGAATACATAATTTCTCAATGTTAGGTCCTTCTCCCCTCCCCCTGCCCCCTGAAAATTCCTGCCCTTTTCACCCAACATGAATTCGCTGTATCATGATTTGTATTTATAAAATTGGCTTACTCTTATTTTATTTCAAAATAGTGAATGATGCAGTTAGCAGACTTAAAGAGTGGAGTGAAAATAGTGTAAGCTTTGGTTTGGTATGGCCAATTCTAAGATAGTCAAATAATAGATTATGATATTCCTTAACTAGAGGATTTAGAAGAGGGCTGAAATCCAGCACGCACTGTAAATTGGTACCCTGGGAGCAAGAGTGATATATTGTATCCTGCCCCAGATATTGGAGAGAGACAAGAAGTAAGGTCACACTAGAAGTTATACTAGTAAAGTTCACATAAATGACATTACCCATGAGCAGTGCCTTCCTGCATGTTTGTTTCTCCAACAGAACTTGGTGTGTTCTGGCCCTTTTCTAAGAACTAAAGGCTTTGCACATATTATCACTCAATCTGCTCAGCAACTCACAGAGGTAGATGGTGTCATCGTCACTCTAGAGATGAGGACAGTGAGACTCGAAGTTAAGAAATGTACCCACAGTTGAGCAGCTAGTGAGTGATAGGACTGAGATTTGGTTTCAGATTTTTTTCAACTATTAAGCCCATACTACTTTGGGTATTGTTTATAGAGAGCTTTCTAATAGGAAGCTTTTTTTTTTTTTTTTTTTTTGCGGTACGCGGGCCTCTCACTGTTGTGGCCTCTCCCGTTGCGGAGCACAGGCTCTGGATGCGCAGGCCCAGTGGCCATGGCTCACGTGCCTAGTCGCTTCGTGGCATGTGGGATCTTCCCGGACCGGGGCACGAACCCGTGTCCCCTGCATCGAGGACTCAACCACTGCGCCACCAGGGAAGCCCTAGAGAGCTTTCTAAATAAGAGGATACTTTTATTAGAATTAAGGAAATAATTGAATACTTGGTAGGATTTCATACAGAATTAGTGATGTGCACAATCCTCAACTAAGGTGACTTGTCACATCTTTCTTGTCACTATTAAGATGAATGGCTAAAATTTTCTTATGTACCAAACTTTCAAATGGAATAGAAAGGGATAGGATTGCTAGGGCTTAGCTACCTGCCCTCCCCACCTCCACCACTGTGGAAGGAAGGAAATTATAAAGTGGTTTGCCCTTTAATAAATGGTAAATATGAGGTAGCTTGGGTGATGGAAAGAACAGTGGCTAAGAGGTAGAGGATCTGGGTCCTAGGACTTGACAAAATGACCTTAGTCAAGTTAACTTCTGAGCCTCATTCTTATATGTTAAATGGGACTAATAATTTCTGCTGTCTATGGGGTTGTTGTGAGGATCAAATGAGATAGTTTGTAAACAAGTTCAAAGTGATATTCAGAAGTTTAGATAAAATTTGTTGTATTCCTGGTAAACTACAGTATATATGTAAAGAGAAATAGTTAAGTCATTTCCCTAAATACTTAGTAGTGTATTACTTACCTATTCAAAATTTAATTTTTATTAAATTCTATTAAATACACATTGTAGACATTGATACAGACATTTGAGTCAAAGTGTGATCAATCCTTAAATGTAATATATACTTGACCTATTGTGTATCCTGGTAGAAAGAAGTGCCTGTTAGTTCAGCTAGTTTGCACACCTAACGGTGAATAACTTCACTCCCTATATCTGTGTATTCTGAATCCTTTGTCATATTATAATAGTTAGCCAGTGCTTAACTGTAGGGTTCATTGGTCAAATAGTGTGCTTAAGGAAATAGTTTTACTTTGAGTAATAATTTCACCAGAAGATTGTAGGTTATATGTGAGAATAAGCTTTAGTAAGCTTTCATTAGTTATCATTTAAATTATGTATAGCATATAATAGATTAGCCTTTTAAATAGTTCCTAATCATTTGTTCTTTAAAAACTTCTCATCAGTACCCTAATTTTATTAATTAAGTTACCTTTTATTAAATTACTATGAGTGTCTGCTTTCTCATCTGTAAAACTAGGGAGTTGGCTTAGATGATGTCTATGTTCTTTCCAGCTCTATGGTTTAAGATTCTGACTTTGAACTGCCCTACCAAAACAGCTCAAGGATCAGCCTGCAGTCAGATTAGATCAAGACAACCCACCAAAAGAAAATAGAGAGGCAGAATAGATTAACTTTCTTAGGCTCATCTGATCATTATTAAAAGTTGTTTTTCAGTTACAAAAGACATGATTTTTGTAGAAAATTTGAATAGAGATCTATGAAGCAAAAAATGAATCAGTATTGTTTACCTCTCCTCCTAGTCTCACACTCACCCCTGGCATAAATAAGTTCAAATAATAAATTAGAACTTTCTTTATGCTTTTCATGTAAATACATGCATTCATATATATGTACGTGTGTGTGCACATACACATTTTCATTCAACAGTAGAGTGCCTCCTATGTGCCAAGCACTATTTTAAGCAGCAGGAATATGTGGAGAACAAGGCAGATGAAATCTCTCTTCTCATGGAGCTTACATTCTAGGGGGGAAGATAAGCAACTAAACAAATAAGAATTTCAGATAGTTGCTAATACAAGGTAATGATAGTAACTTGAAAGGCATAAAACAGCCTGAATTTTATTTTAAGTAACATCCTACTATACATATTCTTCAATTTCTTTTTTCACTTAGTATTGTATAATGGGTAACTTTTCTTATAGTAAGTTTAAGTACAAAGGCATAATTTAAAAATCTCACATTTCACTGGTCCCTTTCTAGCCCTATAAAAATGCTAAAATCTCTGCCATCTTGAAAATGTTCTTTAACCCTCTGTTCTCTAGCTCTTAGTCTCATCTCAGTCAAGATTACTCTTTCCTCCCCTGCCATTCACTCAACCCCTGTCTAGTTTAGCTTTTTTTTTTTTAACCATCCATTCCTCTGTAACCTCTCTGTCACCAGTTACTCAATTGCCAACCGAGAGAAGCTTTAAAGTTCTTCTCTTCACCTCTTTGATACATTCAATACATTGACAATTCCCTTCTTCGTGAAACTCTCTCCTTTCCAAACTTCTGTATCACCACTCTCTTCTACTTTTCTTTTATTTGTCTGCCTGTGTTTTAAATATTGGTGGTCTCTGGAACTCTTATCCTTTCGTACAGTTTTCCTAGTCAGTTTCATCCACTCTACTGGCTAATACCTCCCAATTTTATATTTTCATCTTAAATTTTTCTCTCTTGGGTTCTAGACTTAACCATTTATTAGACAATTTCTTCTGGATGTACCAGAAGTACTAACACCATCTGTACTCAACAGCTTTACTTCCTTTTACCTTGTTTCTCCTGTTTTGTTCCCTGTTTTAGTTAATGGCATTTCTATCCACCCAGAGCTCAAGCTAAAAACCTTGAATTTGCCTTGATTCCTTCCTTTCCTCCATCTTCCTACCAAACCTCAAACCACAGTTTATCTTGTTACCAAATCCTGTAGTTTTACTTGCTACCTATCTTTTGACTCAATCTATTTCTCTCCATTCCCCACTGCTCTAGGCTAGTCTTTTGCCTGAACTGATGTAGCAGTCTTCTAACAGTTGTCCGTGCTTCTCGGCTGTAGCTCTTCCCGTCTGTTTTTCAGTGTCAGAGCAATATTTCTAAAATAAGAATGCAGTAATTCTTTGATGCTTAAAATTACTCAGTGGCTTTCCCTTACTCATTGGATAGAATGTAAACTCCTTGGCTAAACTGTTCATGATCTAAGTATGCCTGCTCTTTCTAGCTTCATTTCTTAGCAGTCCCTGTTATCACACTTTACTTTCTGGAAAACTGGAACTTTCTGGAACACTTTCTGGTGTTCATTGAATATGTCACTGAGATTTTTGTGCCTTT